GCTGGGCAGGCGTTGAGCGTCAGATCCGAGCAATCCAAGTAGCGGCCCAATCCTTGCAGGCGCTCACAATGGCTCACACCCTAAACCCTAAACCCTAAACCCTAAACCCTAAACCCTAAACCCTAAACCCACATCCCGGATCCGAAACCTTAAAGACTTCAACCCTAAATTAAAGGAAACTACAGGCGGGGAGTTTAGGGTATATAGGCCTTCTATAAGGCTTCTATAAGGTATATAGACCTTCAAAAAAGGCTTCTATAACGGCAACTACCCACCTGAAAATGTCCTAGACTAAACTCTTAAGCCAAGCCGCCACAAAACCAAAAGGAAAGTCAGACCAGTTCTGCGTCCACTTTTCGACCCCCTTCTTTGAACGAAGTCTCTCTGAAGTACCTCCAGAACCTTCACCCACCGAAGCGAGAAACACAAACAACAAGAAACAACAACGAAACCCTGTACCCAAAACACTGAACCCACAACACAACCTGAGCCCTAAACCCTAAACCCACAACGCAACCTAAACCCTAAACCCTTAACCCTAAACCCTAAACCCTGAACCCAAAAGACCGCCTCTTTTCGATCATGATGTCATTCAGCTTCTGGGTCAAGCCGGCATCGATCTTGAAGGTATAGGCAAGCTGCTGGATGTCCGGGTCCTCGGGTACTAGCATAAGGCTTCGATAAGACTTCAAGGGTAGAATAAGTAAGGCTTCGATAAGACTTCCCTAAACCCTGAACAAGGGGCTTCTAGGACTTCCATAAAAGGAATGCCGTAGAGCTCAGGGCATATCACCTAGACGTTTGGGGCTTGGGGGGTTCAAGAGGCAGAAGGGATTTAGGGCTCAGGGCTTTCGGGTTTTTGCAGGCGTTGAGGGGTATTGGCGTTTAGGGGTCTCGACTCTCACACCTGGCACATGCCTCTGGTGTGTCCTCGCCTTTGTCAGGTGTGACACCCTAAACCCTAAACCCTTTTTTTGCATGAGGACTTGTGCAATCGCCTGACTAAACCCTACACCCTAAACCCTACGAGGAGGATTCGGCCTGCAGGCGGAATCGCGTCGCCAGCGTGTGCTTCGGATTCGACCGCAAGCTTCTCCAGCTCCGGGGTTTAGGGTTTAGGGTTTTAGGTTTAGGGTTTTAGGGTTTAGTTTAGGGGCGATTTCGGAAGTCGAGTCTTCCTTTCGAGGACTTTCGCCTCGTCTTCCCCCTCTTCGCCACGGTGACGAGATCGTTTTTGGTTTACGAAGCGCATTGGTGGACGGGGCTGCGACTGGAGTGCGAGGTCTTGGGATTAAGACTCTCGGCTGGGCTGACTTTCGGCGTTTGTGCGCAGGATGTGTGTCCTGGCTTGAAGCTGGATGCTGGTGATGATGGTGAGATGCAACGCCCACAACCTCTAGACTCCAGACCCTGGACCGTGATTCTGATGATGATTCTAAGGTAGAACCCATAAACCCCTAGTATGTGCCCTTAACTCTGGGACCCTAATATACCTACTATAAACCCTATATACACCCTTAAGGGACCCTAGAATCCCCTAAGGGCCCATGTCAGGGGCCCATGGGTTCAACCTTAGAATGATGGTGGTGAGGCTCGAACTCATTCGAGCCTGCAGTTCACCTTACCTTGCATTCAGTTTAGGGTTTAGGGTTTAGGGGAACCTCCCGGACACCGGATGCTATCAACCCGCTTCGGGCTCAGGGTGGCGACCTGATACAGCACCTGCGATTGTTACAGAGTGCTCTGACGTTTTCTGGCAACCGGAACGGATTTGAATAAGGTACCGCCATAAAGAGAAACTGCAACTAATCGTTCCGACCCCCTGTCTTACTTCTGAGAACCGGGAAGCCCCCATTATACCCAAACCCTGAACCCTACAATGCAGGGCTCAAGAGCCCGACAGAACCCAAGCCTTAAACCCTCAACCCCACATTTCTGCCAAGCTTCTAGGTCATGGCGCTTGGGCTCAAGCTCAGGCTCCGAGGATGTCTCGCGCTCGCACTTCTGCTCCTTCCAGTGGGGCTTTAGGCGTTTAGGGCTTCAGTCGAGTTTTAAGGATTTCAGGGTTAAAGGCTTCAGGGTTTTATGGCCTTTAGCTGCCCTGGGCACGGGCTCTACAACGTCCCTCCCGTTGGCAATGCCAGAAATTTTCTTGTCTGGCTTAACAAGCGAGCCCACCACCCTGTGCTTGCCGCCAAGACTATATAATTACAATAGGGCCAATAGGGTGTTTGGGCCCATTATACTACACTTATAATAATAAGGAACCCCCAAAATAATATAGGTAAGTATACAGGACCCTATATTCATTTCCCCTATTATGTTCGACATCTCTTTCTGTTCCCGCGAGGACATGGTCATAGAAAACAGTCGTAGCTAGACCGAGCATTTTATCGCTCCAACCCTAAACCCTAACCCTTCGTGCGCCCGCTCTGTTACGGGCCACCCAGTGTCCTTCTTCTTCAAATCCTTCGGAGGCTCCTCCCAAGACTTTCTTAGTTTTTTACGGCTTAGGGTTCAGGGTTTAGGGATTCTTTGGGGCTTTAGGGTTTAGGGCTTTGGGGTTTTAGGGTCGGGTTGAGGGTTTTGTTAGGGCTGAGGGCTTCTATTGCGCAGGGTCTCGGATTTGGGATGTTCACGAAAAACTAAACCCCTCCAAGACTCAAAAACCTTAAAACCACTGAACCGCACAAGCCAATGAAGCGCAAAAACTCTGTGCCCTTGCAAGCCCCCAAAACCCTACCAACCCTTACAGCCCCCACAAACTCGAAGCCAAGAAATCAACAACTCTTCAGTCTACTCTTCTTACATTGTAAGTTAAAAACAGAGATCCCTCTAAAGGAAACCCTAACCCTTTAATCCTAAACCCCTAAACCATAACACGACGAAGGAGCAAAGCCAAAAGTTACCGAAGAGAAGTGGAGCTCAGATCCAAAACCTCGAAGCCCCGGACTTCATGGTTTTGCGACAAGTCTTCAAGGGGCTAATTAATGCAGGGGCTGAAATAGTTACCTATACTGTTTTGGAGGTTCCTGATTCTAACTATAGTATAGTGGGCCCCCAAACCCTATTCTAAATATTAAGGCCCCTATATTACGCCCAAGACCGCGGAGCAGATCTCGGCGGAGACACGCGGTTGACTTCTGTCGAGCGCGACGTGTCTGACTGAGTCGTTCGAAGGGACAGGATCCCCAGAGCACCAGTTGAGTATAGGGGCCTTAATAATTAGAATAGGGTTCAGGGTTGAGGGTTTAGGGTTTAGGGTTGAGTTCGGGCTCCATTATACTATCATCATAATAAGAAAACCGCCAAAATAGTAAAGGGAAATGATTTTAGGCCCCTATTTAGGGAACCTGGACCCGCATAAAACATAGGGTTGGGCTCGATACAAGAAGATCGAAGCCGTTCAAGGCCCTCTCAGTTGAGGTCAACATCATAACGCCAGCAGAAGTGAAGGCAACGTACGGGTTTAGGGTTTCCTTCTTTACGCAGACCTCCTGCAGGATCTAGAACTCGAACCCTTGAACTGCGTGCCATGTGAACCGAGATAGGTTTCTTTGATAAACCCTACGCCCTTGATCATGCTCCAAAACTTGCTGAATGCGCTTGAATTCTCTCTCTCTCTCTCTCTCTCGCTGCCGTGCCATCCTCAGGGGCCTTGCTGTGCAAGGGCACGTAACAGCAGGCCAGACAATGAGGAGGCACAGCCTGAACGCAAAACCTCCATCCTTCGTCGAGCTCACCCAAGTGGACTAGAACTGACCTGAAAGCCACGACCCAAACATCAATCCTTGCAGTTCAATAAATCGACCCCCATCACGCTAAACCCTCAAAGCCGTAAACCCCCCCAAAACCTTAAGCCCCCAAACCGTAAAGCCTAAACCCTCAACCCCCAAAGCCCTTGGCCTAGACCTAGACCCTGAACTCCACCCACGGTCCTCCACAAAAAAAGGCTCGGGTTCTATCTCATCGTTCGTTGGCTTCTTCTTTCGACCTGCTAGAGGCTATCTGCCTCGCTTTCTGAAGGGCTCCATAAGGGCGTGATCGGGGTGTCTGCCTCCTGTGTAGGGCTTTGGGTTTAAGATTTGGTAGATCAGGGCTTCATAGCGGTTTTATGATACTGCCGCGGGGTGCTGTAAGGCCGTTAAAGTTATATGAAAGTCTCAATAAGGCGGTTTGTATGCCAGAAGAAAAGGTCTATTAAGGGCTCTATAGCGATCTACAGTGTGTTCTATGACGGCATATCCAGCTCCTCGGGTTCAAAAGGGCTTTTCAACAAGGATTTCTTTAAGAAGGGATAATCCTAAGGGCGTGAGTCACGGGCTTCCGTTAACGGATGCCTCTAAGGGTGTTTTTCAAGGGCTTCCTTTGGGAGTTTCCTTTTAGGGGTTCTTTTCGGGCGTCTAGAGTCTAGAAGGGCTTGGAGAACGGATTTGTAAGGGTTTCGGGATGTTAGGTTGAATATGGGAGTTTCCGAAAATAGGGGGCCCTAATATAGTACCCCAAATAGTAGGATCCTTATTGAAAGGACCCCAAAATAAGGTACCCCTTATTTTAGGACACTCCCATATGGAGGGGTGTAGAGGTTTGGGTGAAGCGGTTAAAGGGGTCGAGGGCTCAGGGGTTGGCGGTGTGGAGCTGGAGATCTTGCAATTTTTGATAGGCCAACAGAAACGCATTAGGGGTTCCTTTAAAGGGATCCTTGAAGCAGCTCGGCGGCTTTTGGGGCTCATAATCAGACTATTTTAGGGTTTAGGGCCTGAAGACTTAGCTTAGTTGCCCACTCGAGAGGAACTGAAGGTTCACTTTTGGGAATATGATATGTAGGGATTACAATACCCCCAAAACAAAGGTTAAGGGTTACCTGCTCTACTACAAAATTAGGCGCGGAGTTTGGCGAGGACCGGTGTTTCCAGCTAAAGACAAACAAGACGTCTCTGCCACGGTTTAGGGTTTAGGGTATTTTTGGGTTTAGGGTTTCGGGTTTAGTTTAGGGGTTGCGGGGTTAACGGGGTTCAGGGTCCAAGCCACAACCATGCACAAGAAAGTGCGAGCTCCTGAAGCCCAACTATCAGGACATCCACTCAACGATCGCTATCGGGACATCCGGGTCAAGACAAACTCACCAACCCTAAACCCTAAACCGTGATCTTTACGGTACAGGCTTAATGCCCACCCTATGCCCAGAGCTTGACAACTTCACACTTCAGGAAGACCGGCCGTCTGGGGCCACGGTCGCTTCGTTAGGGCCTTCATTCATGGGGCTTCAGGGGGCCTTTTATCCCCACCTGCGCAAGGGGCTTAGGCTTTAGGGTTTAGGGTTTAGGGTTTAGGGTTTAGGGTTTAGGGTTTAGGTGGTTGAGAACCGTTTAAAACCCTGAACCCGATGAGTTAAGAACCAATTTTTCACTCATAAGGAACCCACAGGCCGTTAAACGAAGCTGGGCCTGGCATGGGCCGCATTCCCCAATCCAAGGTTGAACCCATGGGCCCCTAACATGGGCCCTTAGGGGATTTTAGGGGTCCCTTAAGGGTCTATACAGGGTTTATAGTAGGTATATTAGGGTCCCAGGGTTAAGGGCCCATACTAGGGGCCCATGGGTTCTACCTTAGATTTGGGCAACCTAACCCCTACGACGAAAGGATTTGCTGGACCCCGGATTGACTTTCTATGATATTTTGCGCGATAGAACCCTGTCTGAACAACTAGAAATCATGTCCCGATTGACCTTTGGGATAATACAGAGATCGTAGTATACTCGACTAGAGCCTGAAAGCTACGAGCGCAAGCGGGAGAGAAGCTGGGCACTGGGCCCATCTCAACATCAAAGGTCTCGCAGAGCAAGCTGCCACCTGGCCCACATGCTTTTCTGGGATTTGGATTGGGCTTTTTCGCTGTTTCAGGAGGGGTTGTGGGGCCACCGGGACAAGAAACCAGAAAATGACCACCACGACACCCACCAAGAGAGAACCAGGAGATAACAAAGAAACCGTCAGGACCACCGCCTGAATGAAGAGCTCGGACACCTTCGGCTCTTTCCCCCTCTTGTGCGCCCTGGGCCCTAGGGTTTAGAAGCTGACACTTAGGGTTCTGTGGCTCTGCGTGCCCTCAGGCGTGGCAAGATAGTGCTACCCGAAGTTTCAGGAGTTGGGCGTCTTCCTCTTAGCACGATGCCGGGGCTTCTTAAGACCAGGGCCCCATATTTAGGGTTTGGGGTTTAGGGTTCAGGGGTCCAAATAATAAGGATTCTGCTCCTTAGGCTCGATAGTTGGGTCCCATCTTGTCTGCAGCTGCCTTCTGGATGAAACTGTAAGGACTCGGGAGTCAACACCCCCAAGCCTAAGTTACTTGCCACACTGAGCTTCGTGAACATGGACATGAATCACAGCGGTGCTCCATAGCATGCGATTCAGCCAAAACCGCTGCGGCGTGGTTTGCAACGGGTGGATCACGTGCAAAATCGCTTGCCGAGGCCCTCAACGGGAAAAAATACGACCTTACGCACCTCCACAGGCTGAAGATACGGTTGATGATATAAATCCTGCATTACCCACAGCAAGGAATATACCATAAGCTCCAAGGGCTTAGTTTAGCTTAGCTTAGGCAAAGCTTATAGCGGCTCTCAGCATCAAGGGTAGGAGGGCGACTCCCAAAACAGTCTGCGGTTCATCTTCGCTTGATTCTCCTGAATCCAGACATCCCTTTCCGGCTAGAATACCTACATCCAACGCCGTCCTGTTGATGGACAAAATTCTGCATGACCCAAATATAGTATAGTACCATAAATCCCATAGTTTAGGTATGCAAGGTCATGCAGGATTTTGTTCATCAACCATCTCAATACTCTGCGTAGGCTCATGTAACCTCGATCCCGGACTGCATCACTTGCTTCGGGCCCCTATCCACACACACATGCCCACTGCCTCTGAACTACGCTTCGGGACCGAGTCTAGATCATAATATATAATATAATATAATACAATATGAGAGAAAAAACTATAATAGAGTATAATATAGTTGAATATTAGAGCTCAGGAAACATGGGAGCTTAGTGCGCAAGGCTAAGTTTGGACTCGGACGCTCGAGTCCAACTTCTCCAGGGTGCAGGGTGCAGGTGGCGGCTGAAGAAGGCAAGGTCCAACAGATGACGTGCAGAGCGGATTAATGAACCCCCGGCCTTTTCAAAGGCTCAATTCCACTAGTCACTATACCTTGCAAACGGAGATTCTGCAAGTCGGATACCGTGACAAAACCCACCACGTTTTGGATTCGGAGCAGCCTCGTCTGGGGTCTTGAAAGATCATGGGACGTGAAATAGGCAGGGAGGGACTCTACAAGAAGATGCAGGGATTCGAACCCCTCATCGCTGTACATCTGGGCTTCCTCCGTCAATCCTAAGATTCCTAGTGTAAAGCCCCGAACTTGAGGTTTAGCCACAAAAAGCTGGAAAGATATGATACCACTGCAAAGGCTTGTGAAACCCCGATGCCCCTTCTTGGTTGCGAGCGGTATCGAGTCCTACTCGCCCTTAGACCCTCGAAGTGGGGAATGCAAACTAAGATATGGGCGCTGTTCAATATTATTGTTCCTGGAGTTGACCTAAATGCGGCAGTAGTTGCGTGACGCCTCGTTTGGAAGAGAGAAACGATACCATTACAGAACTCCATGTTTGAACTTCTCGATTGCAAAACTGTGAAGTGTTGCTAGCGCGGGCCACATCTGTGGTGTTTGGAATGCTGGTTCAGGGCAAGTCTTGATGATTGGAAAAAGCTTCGGGCCCGTGAAGTAAAGGTTTGGGAATCAAATATGATTTCACGAAGTGCGCTGACGACCGTGGACTTTTCACGAACTCTCAGGATGTTTCTTCTTCTTTCGAACAGACGTTCTCACGCCATCTGCGGATTTGGCCAAAGTGCGCATGAGGCAGTGGAGAAAGAGAAAGGTGGTCCAGGAGATGAAAGCTCACACCAGTAATCCCTCCAGCTCCAGCTCGCAAGTAAGGGGGTTCACACTCAATTTGAGCACCGGGACTGGTGGCGAATCGACCGCTGCATGCGACAGAAATGCAGTGGTGGCTCGCTTTCAGAACCTTGCTAAGCAGCTGCCAAATTGCAGCCACCAGGACGTTTCTTGTTTCGAGCAAAAACTCTCGCGCCAAAATGTGCGAGCGTGAAACGGAGAGGAAGAGAAAGGTGGTCGAGGAGCTGAGAGCTCCCACCAGTTGTTCCTCCCGCTCCAGCTCGTTTGGTAGACTACTGCAAATGAGACGGATGGGCTAGGCATCAGCGACGAAAAGTTCCCTAGCGCGCTGCAAGCGCGGACCTAGAGCGCGCCTAGCGCGGATTGCCCATGTTATCATACATTTTTTTGGCTCAGTTGTGATGACAGTGATACCTGATGCCTATGCGAATGAAAAGAGCAGTATTACTTGCATGAAAAGAAGCTTCTTCAAGCGATATGCAAATTGAGTGACATTGTGAGAAGTCTGTGTCGCCCTAGCTTTGTTCCAGCTGCTACTTGCAACTCCGTTTGGCTTCGGCCTCTTCAACAGCACCACCCACAATGCACTGTCGCGAAACCGGCGTACGGCCAACAAGCTTTGCAATTCGAAGATCGGAACTGGCGAGTTGTTTGCGTTTGCAAGACTGGTCGATGCTCTCTTCGTCTTCGAGAAGACGCCCTACAGTACAATTGTGTTTA